CCTACTAGCCTAGTGACTAAAGACCAACTCTGGTCTAGGCAAACCAGTAAACTCTGCCATCCAGTGGGCTGCAGCTACCCCTTCTTAAGGGAGGCCTGAACCCAAATCTTAGGCCCCCTACTTCCCAGAGGTATCCAAGTACCTCTTCCTTCAGTACCCTCCCTCAGCTCTGGGTTACCATATAGAATTCTCACGTCTTTTTTCTTTTGCCACAGTTTAAAACTTTTTTAAAGGGGCACCTGGGTGGCTCAGATTAAGCGTCTACCTTCAACTCAGGTCATGATCCCAGGCCCCTGGGATCGAGCCCCCCCATCGGGCTCCCTGATCAGCCAGGAAGCCTGTTTTTCCCTCTCCCTCTGCTGTTCCCCATTTGTGCTCTCTCACTCTCTCTGTCAAATAAATAAAATTTTTTTAAAAACTTTTTTTAGGGCGCCTGGGTGGCTCAGTTGGTTAAACGACTGCCTTCAGCTCAGGTCATGATCCTGGAGTCCCGGGATCGAGTCCCACATCGGGCTTCCTGCTCAGCAGGGAGTCTGCTTCTCCCTCTGACCCTCTTCCCTCTCGTGCTTTCTATCTCTCATTCTCTCTCTCTCTCAAATAAATAAATAAAATCTTTTTTTTATATTAAACTTCCCTGTTATAATCACTAGGTGGCTTCTTCCTAGATTGGACCCAGACTGATACCTTCCCACCAAGCAGGCTCAAAGAAGCAATACAATGGAAACCAGCCACTGAAAGTTTTTCTAGATGTAGTCCTAAATCTGTAGAATAACTTGTATATCTGATGAAATGCAAAATATATAAAAACTAAAAAATCTTAGCTTTGAGGGTTCAAAAGGTTAGGTTTATAGATATGTCATCCAAAATACTTAAACATGTGTTGATCCTATTTGATAAACAGTGGCAGCAACATCAAAAAACAAATAGGTTTAATTTACCTCATTTTAAGGATTTGCAGAACATCACATAAAAAATACGGTTTCTCCTTTCTTAAGCCTACAATCTAATAGAGAGAACTAGGCTTAAAATCATCATTCATTTTAAGTTTACATGTTCCTAGTTATACAATGTAATGTAAGAGGTGATATCATAAAGTAGATAAAAATCAGTCCTCTAACTTTTGAGACATTTTCTCCTCTGGAGATACAATGTGGTAAAGAGACACTGTTCAATACAAGAACAAGAAATATAATAGCTAAATGAGTGATGGGTAAGGAAAAAGGAAAGCCAACCTATCAAGTCTGGAAAAAATGTTAGAATATGTAGAAAAGAAAGTACAACATTCAGTCAGAACTTTAAATGATAGAGTAAGCTTTACATAACCAGAATGAAAGAAAACTGTTTCAAGTATAGGAAATAATATGTACAAAGGTGAGAATATATGTAGAAAGTCTGGGAGAATATGAGTAAAGCAATTTAACTGCAGCAAATTTCTTTTTTTTTTTTTTTTAAGATTTTATTTATTTGACAGAGACAGCGAGAGCAGGAACACAAGCAGGAAGAGTGGGAGAGGGAGAAGCAGGCCTCCCACGGAGCAGGGAGCCGATCCCAGGACCCTGAGACCATGACCTGAGCCGAAGGCAGACGCTTAACGACTGAGCCACCCAGGCGCCCTAACTGCAGCAAATTTCTGAAATAAATTAGTAATGTTACAGTGGTGGTATTACAACAGTGTCTTGCAAAGACCAGTCAGCCTGTCTTCAATGCAAGGGCTGAAAGTGAGGGGAAGGAATGTTTAAGGTTGAAATAGGTTGTTAGGAGGCAAACAGGCTCCCCTTAGTTAAGGTAATGAAGGATGGATAGAAGCTGTTGTATTTGTTACTTTGTTAGAAAAGTTGCTACATTGTGAGAAAAGCTGTTAATACAAGTTTGGTCTGGAGTTAAGGACAATGCAGAACAAACTGGGAGGGTAAAACGCAAAGATATCTTTGCTCAAAAAAGGAAAATGATCTTAGTCACAGGTGAAAATAAAGAAGAAATAAAACAGAGAAATAGGAAAGGAATAATTTCAAATGTCATGGGGAAAAAAATGTAACAATACAACCTGAATATATGTTCAGGTTTAGGCCTAGTTTTGCACCAATCATTATATGATAGGCATTACAACCCAAAAGGACACATAACCATGTATAAAACATCCAGTTGATACATGGAATAGAATGATACAATCTTTCACATTTGAAGAAACTTCAGTTGCTCAGAAATTATCAATTTTATTTGCCTTTTGCTTCTTTTGTCTCTTTTCATGATACTTGCCTTTTGGCAAGTTCACTTCTTCATAGCCACCAAATAGGTTTTAAGACACAGTTAACATTGGAACAAGAAAGATGAAACAAAAATTCAAATCCATAAGTGATTTCATGTATTCAAAACATAAGGGGGAAAATATTGTCATGACTTATCTTTAAAAAAAAATTTGGCAGAACTGTATGTAATTTAATAAGATGTTATCCTAAACATTAAATATAACACCAAAAAAAAATCCACATTTATAAATTTCAACAAGAAATAACAAAACTAGGGAGACAATTAACCCAAACAAACCCAAGACAGTGTTCCTTGATTTGGTCAGAAATCTCTATGAAGTTGATATGTGCTAACACAGAAATACTGAAAGTAAAGTTCCTACTGATAATAAAGAACATACAGTTGAGTTTTGAGTCTTCATATACTCCTCATATCTTTATCCTTTGATCTCAAAAAATTTTGGAATTAGGTTTGTTAAATTTTTTCATACTTAACTAAAAATTTGAAATGTCTTTTTAAAATTCCTTTTCTACCTAATATTTTTAAATATACCTAAAAGAAAGGGGTTGATAAAAATTTATATTCTCACTGCAATTTTTAAAACCTTTAATTGTTACCATTGTCTGCTTTTAATTTCCAACTCAGCAGTCTCAATACTGTTGTCACCCTTTTACCCCTGGAAAACTCAAAATAAAAAATACTGAAATATTTAACATGTAATTAAATCAATTCTTTATAGACAATTTCATGAACATTTATCATTTAGATTTTTCTTAGTTGAGGGGCACCTGGGTGGCTCAGTCGCTAAGTGTCTGCCTTCGGCTCAGGTCCCAGCGTCCTGGGATCAAGCCGCACTGGGCTCTCTGCTCAGCGGGAAACCTGCTTCTCCCTCTTCCACTCCCCCCTGCTTGTGTTCCCTCTCTCACTGTCAAATAAATAAATAAAATCTTAAAAATTTTTTTTTCTTAGTTGACTCTCATACATTTCTTTTATTAAAAAGTTGGAATTAATCGTTTCAATAAAATTAATTCCCTTTTTAGGTAAATGACTAAGCATCCATATTTAACACAAAAGGAAAATACTCCTTTAATAAGTATAATCAAGTTTCTTAAAATACTAGCTATAATATAAAAATTTAGAAGGCTTATCTTATTTAGCATTGGAGATATTTTCTTGCAAATGACAGCACTAACCAAATCAGTGCTGTTCAGTCATTATAGCATAATACCTTTGGAAATACTTTTTAGGCAAACTAAATACTAAGTCTGATCAACATATATGCAACTAGAAGTTTATTATCTGATGTATTCATCTTCTCTGCTTTCTATAGAATCAGTGGATTTGGCTAAGCCTGGAACATGATCAACCCAGATCCACCTCATGTTCACCTACTTAAAATCTGCATTTTTAACAGCCATCCATACTTTCATCATCAAAGTAATACTTTGTTTGATTATATGCAAACTATATGTTTTGAAGCAGAAGACAATAATCAGAAAATAGAATGTTGGTAGCAGAAATAACGGAGTAAACAAAACAAACTTAATGGCAAGTGACTCTCAAACTGGGCAAAAACAATTGTATGGTGGTAACTCTGACTCACTGGCCAAGAAAAAAAATGACAGGGATCACTCTATAGTTTTTGACATGTAAGTTCTATAGCAAAGCTCTTACATAGTGCTTTAAACTTGAGGGGAAAAACAAAAATCTTCAACACAATGTACTTAGAAACTCCTATTTGACAGTAAAGCTACCTAGCAAAGGGTCTGCGATTTGGGCAATGCTAATTTGTACTGTTTGTATACAAACACTCATGTTCTTTCATTTCAACAGGCTTTTAAAATATGCTTTATGATTTAATTCCTAGTTTTGTTGGTAAAGATGCTTTCTTGTTTATTAGAAGTTTACTTGGTAGAAAATGCAAAATTATACAGCTCTGTTGAGTTCCAGCTAGAGACAAACTTTACAGATTGCTTTAAAGAAAGTTCAGCTCTTACAAAATAGCTTTATAATACAGAGTTGCTTTTGGATTTTCCACATTCATTTTAAGTTTACTTAACAAATTGCATACAGCAATTGGTCACTGATCTCATAATTTTTACTAGTTTGAGCTAACCTCAAAACTAAAATTTGGGAAATAATATCAAAATATTAAATTATCAAATATACTCCCCAAAAAATGTTTTGTAAACCGTCAAGTGATATCAAAATTATCTTACACAGAATCAAAATCAAAGCATTAATTAAATGAGTTTTTCTCTTGGATTTCACAACATAAAACATTCCTTTTAGCACTGTATCATCCCATTATTAATGTTATCTGCAAATACAACATATCTTAAATATTTATAAAAATTAAAAGCAACATATTCTATATGGATAAGATACACCAGAACAATTTTGATATTCCTCTAGCCTACTTAAATGTAGATGCTAATTGTATCAAAATGTCTACTTAAGAGATTTTGGATAGAAACAAGGAAGAGTTTCTTAATAATCTAGAACTAGATGATAAAATGATGAGGACGCTCAAGAAGATTAAGTGCACATAAGCTTCAATAACAGACATCATCCATCTTTGAATATTGGACATTTGCTGGCCTGAAGACCAAAGTCAGACTGTTGGACACAGTATGGGTCCTTCCAGTTCACATTCTGGTATTTTGGCATTAAATGAGGATAGGTCACAAAACCTATGCACATTTTCAAGTTTGTTTTTTAAAAAATATATAATACTTGACCCAATCACAGAATAATGTATGGCTTATAATTTCTTTGTCAGTTTAAGGAACAGGAAAAAAAATACATCTTTGTTCTGTAATGACTATTTATTGGTTGGACCGTTTTATTTTCCTCTTCACATTTTCGGCGACTGTTTCCCACTGGTATCATCAACCAGGTCTCTCAGGCGAGATAAATGGTGCAAAGCCCTTCATTAAAAAGTATAAAACACATTATAAACCAATATTAAGGACTGAACAGACAATGCAGACAGCAACAAATGGTGATTACACTGTTTATTAACTTCAAAATTAGTATATGAGAAATGAATTATAGAGTAAGTGTCAAATATTTAGAATTTTTCTTTATGAAACCTTGAGATCTGAATAACTGAGGGCTAAAATAATTCATTTAAATTTTATAAACATTTACTTTAAAAAATATTTTTTGACATTCACGGGATTTTTTTTTGGAAGTTTGCCACAAAGTTTAATAATAATAGGTTTTATTTGTGTCACACTTAACAAAACACTTTTTTATGTCATTTTCACAATAGCTCTGTGAAATTATACCTTTTCTTTTGGAATACTGTTTATATCATTTAAGAAAAAAGTACATTCATTAAGATGTACATTGAGAATAGCTAAAATTTAAAAAATAGCACTGAAGGATCAGTTACAGTTGAGGAAAACTCATTTTTATTGAGGGTAAGGGGAAACAAATGACAATTATGTGGTATTAAACAAACAACCAGATTTCTTCTCTAAAATAAAGCTAAGATTATAGGTCAGGTCTCAGTGGAGAAAATTTAATCATCCTCAAACAAACCAAGAAAAAAGAGGCCCTTAACTTTCCAGTCTTCCTCTAAAAATACTCTTCCTTTTTCCTCTCCCCTATTACTCATTCAGATCCTCAAAGACCACCCAGAAAATGTCAGTTAATCAACCATTTTTCAGATCTCTGATAAATAAGAGACCAACAAAAACAAATAATGTAACAATTATGATGTGCAGTAATCTGTTAGTAATTTCTAAATTGAGTTGAAAGGTGGTGACTACAGTACCCTATTTTTACGGTCTCTAACACAGGTTTGATAAATTTATATTAAATAAAATACATCTTCCACTTGACCCAGGATATGAAGATGGAAGAAACTAGTACTGTTAATTACTGCATTATATCTATTTCCCTGTACTCTACTTCTTGGACACTTACTCAAATGTAGTAAGAATCTGGATTTTGCCAGCCTTTTGGCAATTTCAATTAATTTTTGAGATTCTCATCTTCATTAACTAAATGACAATAAATCACGCAAAGTTACTATGCAATCAGAGGTAAAACTAATTAGACTCTATCACTTCTACATCCTATAGTAATAACTCTTTACCTAAAAAATCACTTTCTTTCTAGAGACACATGTTTATGAGAAAGAAGATAATCTACGAATATACTTTGGACTTACATCTATCTTTTTTTTTTTTTTAAAGATTTTATTTATTTGACAGAGAGACACAGCGAGAGAGGGAACACAAGCAGGGGGCGGGGGAGAGGGAGAAGCAGGCTTCCCGCCAAGCGGGGAGCCCGATGTGGGGCTCGATCCCAGGACCCTGCGATCATGACCTGAGCCGAAGGCAGACGCTTAACGACTGAGCCACCCAGGTGCCCCATATCTTTTTCTTTTCAGGCTTATTATTTAGCAACTTATGATTCAAAAGAGGGGCACCTGGCTGGTTCAGTCAGTGGAGCGTGAGACTCTTGATCTTGGGGTTGTGAGTTCAAGTCCCACACTGGGTATAGAGAGTGCTTAAAAATAAAATCTTAAAAAAAGGAAGGAAGGAAGGAAGCAGGGAAGGAGGGGAGAGAAGAAAGGGAGGGAGGGGTAAGCAGCTAGCATCTTATCTCACTGTTTACAACTCTGAGGGCCACAGATCCCTTGGATTTAGACGGTTGACAAAATTGGATGTGGGAAAAAATCCTCATCTTTATTTTCACTAAATGCTACCTGTAAATTAGCATTTCCTTCCATTATGAGTGTAAGCAACAGACCAAAATCGGTGACCTCATATGCCACAGAAATTAGAGATATTTTTCTATCACACTGTAGTCATTGCAGGTATCTCAAAGCAGTTTTGATATTCACCACTACTTAAAAATTACAAGTTATATATAACAGTTACAAAATTACATTAATTATTAACCCCATTGCTAAAATATATGTATTCTAAGTCTTTCTGCCTACAGTCCAAAAGTTCACATGACATAACTGGTGACCCAGTTCATATGACATCACTGGTGATCCAGACATTGATGCTTTCCAATATTCCCTTTCTCTGTTTGCTGATCAACATTGTGAAAGGTAAATAAAAGACCACAGCACGGTTTAATGCTTTTATTCAAGTTATGTAAAAGGCCTTCATATAATGTTTTTATAAAATGAATTTTAACTTACCTGTATTTTAAATGTCTTATTTAAATGCATTAACAAAGAAGCACGTATTACTAATTAGAAATTTATTCTAACATTTTCATAACTATAACTCAATGTAACTGGCTTCCTTTCTAGTCCTAGTTCATGTCTTTAAAAAACAATGTTAGGGAGAAAGGAGAATGATGGGAAGGAAAGGGAGGGGTGTAGTATGATGGGAATGAAAAAAAAAGCTAAGCAGAAATGCGAAATCTTCAGTCCCCCTATACAATCAGCTAGCAGTTCCTTTCATTTAACTTTTATCTGACCGTCTAAGAATAAGACAATCAATCTACTTAGAGAAGAGGCTATCAAAAGTGATTTGCTATTATGTGTAGGGACAAGCGCAGAATAAAATTATAGGAGGAAATTATTCCTGAGTTTCTTCTCCAAAAAGGTGAAAAAGCAAGCTAATGGGGAAAATATCAATTTAAGAGTTATGTTACATACAACACTGAATAGTCATTCACCTTAAAAATTGAAATAAAAAAACTCATGTCTTATTATGAAAAAGTATCTATCAATGAGCATAAATAGAAATCAACCCACAGAAACTCAGTAACAGGCTAATTATATGAAGGCAATTTAACTATATTTTAACTTACTGATATCTTGCATCTGGTTTCCTATTAGTACTGCTATACTGGCTGTTCTTAAATACTGTTTACCAGCCTATATTCAGCCTAGTATCCAGCAACAACTGAACAAACTGCCAACCACTCCCTAGGTTTTAGTAAAGTACATTAGGATAAAAGAAAAATCTTTGCTCTAGGATCATGTTTTGCAAATCTGAGAGGTAATTCTATTTCTAGTATAGAATGAAGACCAGAAAATTGAGCAAGAAAAGAGAACTGAGAAACAGGACAACTTTCTAGCTATCATTAAGTCTTCACAGCATGGCCTTTAGTACTGAGAACTATAAAATCTTACACATCCATTTCCAAATTATATATAAAACAACAAATTCCAAAGCCAATACAAATTATTTTTGGATGACTGATGATTTTGCAATCATCTCCTACTGCTCACCTTTATAGCATATGAGCAACATACTATTGCTCATTCTTCACAGCCAGCCTGGGCAGAGTAGCTGGTGGCTTATATGACATACAAGATTCTAGAAAAGGCCCCTGCTCAAAAACTACAATTTTTTCATTTGCTAAGATGACAAATTTCTCTTATGGACATTTTAGTTAATAAGTTTTTATTGAGTTCCTATTATGTAAATACATAAGACAAAGATAAGCATTATAGGGATACAAAACAATTACAATTTAGATTCCTACTAAAAGCAAAATCCCTCTGAAAAAAATAACATTTTAAGCTACTCAACCATTTATACTTCAGGTCTAATGAGTCTTCCCAGAGAGCAGTTATTTCTAATGGAAGAATATAAGAAAACTGAGTGTCCAACAAAGTAAACAGAACCATACTAAGAGCTTGGCATTTCCTAAGGCTAATGAAAGACATTTTAAAACTGGTTAGCAATCAAACTGTTAAAAACAAAAACTGCTATTTGAGGGGTGGGGAGAGACATAATAGGACTTTTCATCCCAGGAAAGGTCATTAAAGCACCCAAGGTACAATCTGCAACTTTTGAAGAAGTTGAGTCTGTTTATTTTGAATTATGGAAAGATGACTATAAACCTAACCAGAACAATTTGAATTTCAAATTGTCCTTAAAATAATCTACAAATTAAAAATAATGAAAACATGTACTTACATATTTTTAAAAGTTTAAACTTACTTCATAACAGTACAAATGCCTTACTGATAATACCTTTGAAATGTAAGTAAAAGCCAAATTAAGATTGCCCCAGATAATCCATCAGAACGAACAGCTAAAAGCCATCTAACAAAACATGAATCTTACTCTCTGAAAATGGCATTCTACATGTAGGCAAGATTATTGGTTGTCGAAGCTAGAAAAAAGTTACTACTATGAAAAAAAAATTCTTTTAGCTAATAGTAAAAGCACCTATAACATCAATTTTTGTGGCCATTTAATTACTTATGGCCCAGTGTTCATCTTTACCAAGAAAAACATCTTCCAGGCTATGTACTTTAACTCAGAAAACACATTTAAGTCTGTGACACAAGTTCAATATAAATGCTTTTAAAAAGGGCGCCTGGGTGGCTCAGTCAGTTAAGCATCTGCCTTCGGCTCAGATCATGATCCCAGGGTCCTGGGATCAAGGCCCAAGTTGGGCTCCCTGTTCAGTAGGAAGTCTGCTTCTCCCTGTCCCTCTGACCCTCCCCCCTGCTTGTGCTTTCTCATGTTTTCTCCTGCTCTCTCTCTCTCTCAAATAAATAAAATCTTTTTAAAAAATTTGTTTAAATAAATGAATAAATGCTTTTAAGAAACACAAAAAGCTTGAGGTCATCTACTTTAAATTTTGAAGCAGAATGAGGTCTTTATTCCTAGACAACCAATTGAGGCCCTGCACTAGTCTAAATGGATAATGTACCACTATCATTAATAAGAAGAGTGTTAGGAACACAGGCTATAGAATCAGACTATCTGGTTTGAATCCCACTGCTACCTCTCATTAGCTATGTCACCTTGGACAAGTTACTTTATTACTTGATCTTTATTACCTGATCTGAATTATGAAAATAATGATAGTACTTAACCTCATAGGGTTGTAAAGATCACATGAATTACATTCAAAAGCACCAAGAACACTGACACTTGGTAAGTGTTCAATAAATGTTAGTTATTATCATTATTCACTGACTCCTACTGGATAGGAACACTATACCCAAGTACTGTGGCAAGCTATAAAGAAAGAGGCATTATTTCCACCCAGGAGATTATAAGTAGAGGGGGAAAAATCATATATACATATATTTTTAAACCATGGAAACAAATATGTGTGTGTGTATACACACATATACACATACATATCATGGCAATTAGAGTCCTAATTTTACATGTCTAGTGTTTCACTTTTCCACCACTTCCTTAGAAAACCAAATCCTCAGCAAATTCTGAAAGGACAAAAGCTAGACAATATTTGTTTAGCCCCACTGATAGCCAAGTGAAATGATGTCACTAAAGTAAAAAATTTCAATCTTAGCATGTCCTAAAGTTCAGTATTCCATCTTCTGAGGGTACTTCATATTCACACAACCAAACCCATAAATAAAGACCATTCCCTCTGTCAATACCATGACCATAGGAAACATTTGTATTCATCTCCACATTTTTACTTAAGATAATGTAACTAAGGAAATAGTATATTAACACCTTTATGGCATTTAGACCTATTTTTATATCCAGGACATTATGTCCACTTTAGGTTTCTGTGGAGATTATGTCAAATAATGACACATTTATGATTATATTTATTCTAAAGGGAATACATAAAAACACATTTCATGAACAAGTTGTTCTTCCATGATATCCATACCAATACTATCTCAAGTTGTTGCTATTAGTCAGAAATGAAAAGAGAATCTCTTTAAGCCACTCACATCCATTATACTTAGGTGTCTAAAGTTATCTCATTAGGTCCTAAGAACATTTTAATAGAAAATAACGCAAGTTTAAGAGAAAACTTCAGGATTAAACATTGTTCCATGAAGCTTAAATATACCAAGTATATCTATTCTTAGAATTACTTAATTCCTCCTATAATCTTCTGATTTCAAAGGAACGGCTAAATGTATTTGTATCCATAATATATTCAGAAATTAGTAGGGAATACTTACTTTTGAAGTGACCTAGTAATAGGAACCATACTTTCCTTCAACTGTAATTTAGAGAAATTATCTTCTGAAACCTATTAAAAACACCAAATATAACAAGATATTGAAAATATTATGTAACTAATAACTTTTTTTTTTTTAAAGATTTTATTTATTTATTTGAGAGAGAGAGAATGAGAGATAGAGAGCACGAGAGGGAAGAGGGTCAGAGGGAGAAGCAGACTCCCTGCTGAGCAGGGAGCCCGATGTGGGACTCGATCCCGGGACTCCAGGATCACGACCTGAGCCGAAGGCAGTCGCTTAACCAACTGAGCCACCCAGGCGCCCATGTAACTAATAACTTAAATACTATTTAATATGTGAATAAGAATAAAAAATATTGTCTGCATTTCCAAGGAAATAATTCTAGCAAATAATTTTCAGTGAAGCATTACATATTTTCTGTTTATTCTAGGGTGCCTGGGTGGCTCAGTCAGTTAAGCATCCACCTTCAGCTCAGGTCATGATCCTGGAGATCAAACCCTGCTTTGGGCTCCCTGCGCAGGGGAGAGCCTGCTTCTCCCTCTCCCACTGCCCCCCTCCTTGTTGTGCTCTCGCTCGCTCTGTCAAATAAATAAATAAATAAAATCTTTTTAAAAATAAATATTTTCTCTTTATTCTAAAAATATAACTTAGATTCATCTTTCATGTACACTTTTTTTTTTAAAGATTTTTTTATTTATTCATTTGTACAGAGAAAGAGAGAGAGCATGAGCAGGGGGAGAAGCAGAGGGAGGGGGAGAAGCAGACTCCCCGCGGAGCAGGGAGCCCAATGTGGGGCTCAATCCCAGGCCCCTAGGATCATGACCTGAGCCGAAGGCAGACACCCAACCATCTGAGCCACCCAGGTGCCCCTTTCATGTACACTTCTAAATGTATGTCCAATAAAAATAAAACCTTGACTTGAAATTATAACTGTAAGAACAAGGTTATGTCTCAATGATGTCTAAAAAAGGATGGAATACACTCTATATATTAATGTAATAATCATTAAAATGTATAAACAAGGGCGCCTGGGTGGCTCAGTTGGTTAAGCGACTGCCTTCGGCTCAGGTCATGATCCTGGAGTCCCTGATCGAGTCCCGCATCGGGCTCCCTGCTCAGCGGGAGTCTGCTTCTCCCTCTGACTCTCTTCCCTCTCGTGCTATCTCTCATTCTCTCTCTCTCAAATAAATAAATAAAATCTTTAAAAAAAAAAAATGTATAGACAAGACTTAAGTAATACAGTTCCTAAGAGCTGATCCATTCATATGTAATTAAAACTGAATTTCATAAAGCTCTACTGAATAAGAATAAAATAAAACAACGACAATAAAAATATTTATTAAGTATTTACCAGCTATTTTTTATCAGGTGTCAAGTACTATATAATAAGTACTTCACATAGTTTATCTCAATTTATCTTCTCAACCTCATTTTACAGAAGAGGAAGCTGAAACTAAAGAGATTAAGTGATTTGTACAAATATTGCACTTGCTAGTTAAGTGGCAGAATTAGAATTCAAAATCGGATTTAGGAGAATATAAACTCTCTGTAAACACTATACTACTGTGAAGAAAATTCAATCCCTACAGAACAGTAGCCCAAAGCACTGAGATTTCCAAGTTCCTAGGAAGTACACAAAAACATAATGGTTTTAAAATAAAATTTTACATCAGCTTTAAGAAGAGCCAAACTCATGGTAACCAAACAAAATTTCAGAAGACAAAGGTTACGTGGAGAAGTCTAAGGTTGAAAAGGTTTCACAGGCCTCCCCAAATATAAATACAAAAAGTTGGATTATACCGATAATTTTACAGGGCATTAAAAAACAACTCCTACGGGGTGCCTGGGAGGCTCAGTTGTTAAGCGTCTGCCTTCGGCTCAGGTCATGATCCCAGGGTCCTGGGATCAAGCCCCGCATCGGGCTCCCTGCTCCGCGGGAAGCCTGCTTCTCCCTCTCCCACTCCCCCTGCTTGTGTTCCCTCTCTTGCTGTGTGTCTCTCTCTGTCAAATAAATAAATAAAATCTTTAAAAAAAAAAAAAACTACTCCTACAATCCTTCCATATTACAGTTGTAATGTTGTTAGATCTAAATAAGATGTTGTATTTACAACCATAAACTAAATAGAACAACCCATTCAGGGGTACACACAACTACAGAAATCTAATAGTATTATAATTAAGTTAATTTCTGAAAAAATAACAATTAGCACAACTCTACATGTGTTAGGTGGCATGCTTATTAACATATAACTATAGTGGTCAAGCTGAAAAAGATCTAGGAAGAAATCATATCTTCATAGATCTCAATTCACATTCGCAGATCTCAATTCATAAATCAAGTCTGTGCTTACTTGCTTAATCTCTTCTTTCAGTTCTGCTGTTTTATTCTGATTAAAACTTTCTTGTACTGCTTGAAGATTAAATAACATTTGTTTCAGTGCTTCAACAGGACCATGATGTTTCCCTCCAGAAAGGGTACAGCTCTGAGGTTAAAACAGATGAAACCAAGCAATTCAGGGAAGAAAAAGTTATATTTTTTATTATTTTCCCCCAATATAAAATTAGTGCAAAAATTCAAACCGTACAATCAATGTGTTTTGAAAAATCAAAATTGTAATTCAACACCTCCCCTTACCCAGTCTCCAGATGAAGTTACTTACAGACAACCATTATTAAAGTTAGGCAATATTCTTTCTAGTCTCTGCTCTTTTCAAATGAACAGTACACCTTCACATTTGCAATACATTCATTTATACATTTAAAATCATAGATTTTTTAGAACTGAAAGATCTTCAGAGCTCAGGTAGGCCAACATGCTCTTTTTGGGTATATAAATGAAGCTGTTTATCAGCGGAACAGGGACTAGAATTTGAAATACGGCATTCTCTAAACACTTTTAAGTATGTTTTCACACAGAGAATGCTAGTTTTTCACTTATTCATTGGCCACACATTCCTTGCTACCTACAAAACACGCTACCTCAATTATCACTGATCTTACTTGCGTTCAAGGAGGGTAACAGCACTACATAAGGTGGTCAGGATTCTTTTAAGAAAATCTGTGAGGGATATTTTTAAACTTCTTTTTTAAAGTCTTCTTACCAAACTCTTATTTTTACATCTTCCATATTACATACATCTTCAATATTATGTTATATATATTTCACCAGAATTTTAAACATAAAGAAAAATAAACAGGGCATAAGGATCCAATTAGCCTTGGGGCACTTGGGTGGCTCAGTTGGTTGAGCGTCCAACTCTTGTTTTTGGCTCAGGTCATGATCTCTGGGTCATGGGATGGAGCCCTGCGTCAGGGAGTCAGCTTGGGATTCTCTTCCTTCCCTCTCCCTCTGCCCCTCCTCTCTCTCTCTCAAATAAAAATAAATAAATCTTAAAAAAAAAAAAAAGGATCCAATTAGCCTTATACTCTCTGACTCTTGTAGACAGCACCTGAAGCATTATCTCTAAATTACCTCCATCCAGCCACTGACTTAGAAGAATTTCTGGCTGCCTGATGCCAACCATAAGGGTTACAAAAGCCTGGCTCTGGAGTGAATTTTTCATGCAAACTAGTGATCAGAGTTCCAAAAAGAAAACTACGAGAAACAGATTATATGAACTGTTTGTGCCATTCACTAATGAATATTTAATAAATGTTGGTATGTCTGATAGAATTTGTCCTGAGACTCATCATTAAAACCTGGTAGTGAGGGCGCCTGGGTGGCTCAGTTGGTTAAGCGACTGCCTTTGGCTCAGGTCATGATCCCGGAGTCCAGGGATCGAATCCTGCATCAGGCTCCCTGCTCATTGGGGAGTCTGCTTCTCCCTCTGACCCTACTCCCTCTTGTGCTCTCTCTCTCTGTCTCTCAAATAAATAAAATTTTAAAAAAATAAAAAAATAAAACCTGGTAGTGAATGTCTTGGAGTATATCTTTTTATATAGCTCTCTCAGAACTATAATGTTTCACATATTAAAAAAACAAATAATTTAAACCAAATAGGATGGGGTTTAAACTCAATATATACAATAAAAGTGAACCACCTAAGAGAATTACAATTGAATAATATGACCACAATGAAAGGTGTTGGGAAGAAATAATTAACCAAGGTAACTTTGGAAAGCAGTACTTTGGATATCGTAAGGCTAAGATAAAAAGAACTATACATAAATAATGTGATCTAGTTAGTAAATTTGTTTCTTACAGGCATATGGATTAACAATTGCCAAAGTATGTTTATGCTAAGAATACACAAATAGTTAAGGGATTATGGATAATAGATGGGATTCTCACCAGTGGAAAGAAGTTACAAATAAGGAACAGGAAAGGCTAAAACAAACCCTGAAGGAGTGGACTGGAGTCAGAGGTATCAGTATGAACTCATGATTTTATACATACATATAAAATATACAGATATAGAAATACAGATGTGCATGTGTGGATTAGTAATCATACATGTTTCACAGACCTGCCTGCTGAGAAAGTCTAGAACGAATAATCTCCCAGTAGCAATAAGCACAACTAGTGCCCAGATCTTTGTTTCTAAATGCCATTTTCCAATTAAAAAAACATGGCCCCACAGACAAGTGCTCCAAAAAAGGATGAGGACATGTCAAAAGGACACAGGGCCAACCTGAAGGAACTCCTTATGGCCAAAACTGGAACAATTTGAGCAACAAAGTAACAACATTTTATTAAAAACTTAGAATAAATATCTATTTATGAGTCCCTATCAATATAAATAATTTAACTAATATATGGGGAGGAGAAGGAACAGTTCTTCATTCTACAAGATTTCAATTAAAAGAAGATCCACCAATGGATGCTAAAATTAGTGAAATTTTGAGACTATTTGCACAGTGTCAAGGTATGTCCCCATATTTATTAATTACAAGGGGAAACTGTAATTTTACTAAAGGGAGAGACAGTAGACACTGTAGTGTTCAAGGTTAACATCACAAGTATTAATATATTATAATTTCATATATTATTATATTAACACATTGTTATGGACTGAATGTTTGTGTCCCCCTAAAATTCTTATGTTGAAGCCTAATCCCAATGTGATGGTATCCGGAGAAAGAACTTTTGTGAGGTAATTAGGTCACAAGGGTGGAGCCCTCATGAATGGGATTAGTACCCTCCTAAGAAGAGACACAAGAGAGCTGGCTTCTTCCCTGTTCTCTGGCATGGGAGATCTTATGGAGAAGATGGCCATCTGCAAACTAGGAAGCAGGACCTCACTAGATACCTTGATCTTGGACTTCTCACCCTCCGTAACTGTGAGAAATAAATGTTTGTTGTTTAAGCCACCAGGTCTATGGCATATTTATTACAGTAACCCGACTAAGACACATGTCAGTAAATCAATGATATCAGTATATTGTGAACCCTCTGGTGTCATGCACTGAGAAGGGCATAGGATGATTTCTGTCACATTCTTGCCAAAAGCATAACCTCATTCTAATCATGAGAAAACTTCAGACAAACCCAAACTGAGGAACTATCTACAAAATAACCAACCAACGAGTACTCTTTAAATAAAGTGTCAAGGTCATGACAGACAAGGATAGACTGAGGAATTGTCACAGACTGAGGTAGATTAGAGACATGACAACCAAACACAATGTTGGACCCTGGAACAGGACATTGGTAGAAAAACTAGTGAAATCAGAGTAAGGTCTGTAGTTTAGGTAACAGAATTGTACCTATCTTAATTCCTTGTTTGTGATCATTATAGTATGGTATGTGAGATGATAACATTAGGGAAGCTGAAAGAAGGGTGATGAGAACTTCCTTTACATCTAAAATTATTAAAAATAAAACAGGGGACATCAAAAACTAATGATGTAATGTATGGTGATTAACGTAACAATAAAAAATTTAAAAAAATAAATAAAATAAAACAGGGGAACCTGGGTGGCTCAGTTGTTAAGCATCTGCCTTTGGCTCAGGTCATGATCCCAGGGTCCTGGGATCAAGCCTAACATTGGGCTCCCTGCTCCGCGGGGAGTCTGCTTCTCCCTCTCCCACTCCCCCTGCTTGTGTTCCTGCTCTCACTGACTCTCTTTCTCTGTCAAATAAATAAATAAAAATCTTTAAAAAACAAAAACAAAAACAAAACAACCTGGTAGTGTAGTGAGATTGTGTGTGTACTGGCAGGGGAAAAGGAACCAGCTGGTTAGTATTTAACACTCATCCATCTCAAACTTAAAAGAACCTCTGCAAATCTGTTCCTCTACCAGTGCTCTTTACCTAAGTAAATGCAACCACCCAATCTTTTAGCTGCTTGACTCAAACATCTTGGATTCATTCTTTGAATTGTATCTCCATCCTGCTAGGTCTACCTTCAAAATACATGCCAAAGTCTACCCATTTCTGACTACCTCCAACGTACCCACGCTATGCCAATCCTATCCAGAAAGACTACAAAAGTTTCCTAACTGGGTTCCCTGCTCCTTCACCAGCTTCTTCTAAGTCTGTGCTCCACACAGCTGCCATTTTATATTTTAAAATGTAGATCTGATCACTTCATTCCTCCACTCAAAACCCTCCAGTGACTTCTCATCTCACCTAAATAAAACATAAAATCTTCATTCCATCACTTATAAGACCCTACATGATCTGGTTCCCAGTTACCTCTCCATCTTACCTCTTACCATCCTTTCCCTTGTTCATTCTGATTGAGCTACCCTAATGGACTCTAATATTCCTTGAACATGCCAAATACAATTCTGCCTTGCGGTTTCTGCACTTACTATTACCTCTACATGTAAAGTTATTTCCCCATGTATATTTGGCTTATTCACTCATTTTAGATTTTTGCTCAAATATCAGCTCATTAGAGGTCATTCTTTTTTTTTTTTTTAAAGATTTTATTTATTTGAGACAGAGAGAATGAGAGAGAGAGAGAGCGCACATGAGGCGGGGGAGGGTCAGAGGGAGAAGCAGACTCCCTGCCGAGCAGGGAGCCCGATGTGGGACTCGATCCCGGGACTCCAGGATCATGACCTGAGCCGAAGGCAGTCGCCCAACCAACTGAGCCACCCAGGCGCCCCTCATTAGAGGTCATTCTTAACTACCCTAGCTAAAATTATACCCTTATTTTTCTATCCCAACTAGTTTTTCTTCACAATATTTACAGTATTCCCTTATATATCACATACAATATTTTTGTTTAGTTTTCTAATTGGAATAAAAAATACAAGACACAAGGATTTCCTCTTATTCACTACTGCGGATACAGTTCCTAAAAAAGTGCTTACTATTCAAATATTTGCCAAAAAAATATTTGATAGGGGTGCCTGGGTGGCTCAGTTGTTAAGCATCTGCCTTCGGCTCAGGTCATGATCCCAGGGTCCTGGGATCGAGCCCCATATCTGGCTCCCTGCTCTGCAGGAAGCCTGCTTCTCCCTCTCCCACTCCCCCTGCTTGTATTCCCTCTCTCACTGTCTCTCTCTGTCAAATAAATCTTTAAAAAAAAAAAATTGTTTTTTTATAATTAAGCTTCACTTACCCAATATCTGCTATAGTATCTTACACAAAGTTCTAAGGTCAAACATATTCTGACAGTAAATTTTCTCTAGTAAATTTCACAGAAGGAATTCATTTTATTAAATTTTCAGCTAATCTTTGAGTGTTTAACCTCTCAAATCTTCCATATTTTAAGACCCCCAAAGTATGATTTCAATATTTAACAGCCATGGCTATGTTTCTATGTCAAATGATACATAATTTCTTATGTGCACATATACATATTCATACTTCATTTTAGGGTTACTTGCAAGATGCATATATGCTGATTTTGTAAAATTGGATAATTTTCCTATCTTAAACTATAGAGATTTATAATTTTCTCTTAGCAACACAACTCTCAATAATCAACCACTGTATGGGAAAATATAACTTACTCTTACAATGATATGCTTTATATATTGCCCCAAAAAACAAAACAAAAAAACCATGATAATTTAAGCTCTCTGTAGAGTTCAATTCCAGGTCCCTCTACTTTAGAATACTTAAACAAAATTATCAATAATTCTAGGAGCGATGGTTTAATGCACTTGTGTTGAAAAAGCAGGAATTTGGGCGCCTGGGTGGCTCAGATTGGTTAAGCATCTGCCTTCGGCTCAGGTCATGATCTTCAGATCCTGGGATCAAGCCCCATATTGGGCTCCCAGCTCAGCGGAGAGTCTGCTTCTCCCTCTCCCTCTGCCTCTGCCTTTCCCCCTGCTTGTATTCTCTGTCTCTCTCTCTTCCTCAAATAAATAAATAAATCTTTAAAAAAAAAGAGGGAATTCGAATGAGGTTTTGTTTTTTAACATCTCAGAAATTAAAATCTCTGTATTAGTCATAAATCCTCTTTTAATAAGTTAAAAAATCCTCTTTTAGTAAGTTAAAAAGATTTAACCTCACCCACCTGATTATCATTATTTAAAAAATCTTCAAGGAACCCTTTAGCACACTTTGCCCTTGAAGTTTGTTGAGGACTATCATCAGAATTAACAGGAACAGGAGATTTGCTAAATAGGATTTAAGGATACAAGATAGTAATTAAGTTCCCAATTCATAAAACTTAGTGTATAACTGAATGGTTATCATTTAAACAAAAATAGTCACCAAGAAACAACCATTATAGATATGATTCATATTGATTTTGCTTTGTAATTCCCTCATCTGCTCTCTAAACTGATACCAGAATCTAACTTTCCCTGTCCCCTTGTTTCTCCTTTAAAGCTTTAAGGAAAAACTATGAAGAAAGTAAAAACATTAGTCTTTAACTAAATAAATAAGCCTTCAACTACAGGCTATACTCCAAAATCTTGTTTGTTTGAAATAAGCAGTACATTTTTCCAAATAGACATGGTTTGTCACCCAATGATAGTTAAAAACCCCCACAAATACATGATTTTCTACTGGAATGGCAGTTACATGCTCTTCCATGTCAAAGCAATAGGACTTGCCCTCCAGAACTGGCATTAACAAAGAGGACAGATTACAGTGGGAAAAAGATCAATTTTGAAATTAAAATCCAGAGTTCCAATCCCAATTCCACTCACTATGTGATTGTATGTAATTTATTTATCTAAATTTCAGTTTTACATTTGTAGTCCCACTTATCTTACAGAAGTACTGCATAAATTAACTCTACGTACCTGGAACATGTAATAGATGCTCAATAAATATTAGTATATTTCTTGATGTTTCTTTTCTTTTTTTTTTTTTAAAGATTTTATTTATTTATTTGACAGAGAGAGACACAGCGAGAGAAGGGAACACAAGCAGGGGGAGTGGAAGAGGGAGAAGCAGGCTTCCCGCGGAGCAGGGAGCCCGAAGCAGGGCTCGATCCCAAGACCCTGGGATCAGGACCTGAACTGAAGGCAGATGCTTAATGACTGAGTCACCCAGGTGCCCCTATTTCTTGATGTTTCAAGGGATAGCAGAGCAAAGGGCAACCCAAGCAAGTCAGAATTTTCCCAAAACAAATTCTATTAGTCACAGAGAATAAATAAAATCATTCTCTCTCTTATTTATATGTCAATATAAAATATGTTTCTAGGGACGCCTGGGTGGCTCAGTTAGTTAAACGTCTGCCATGGAGTCTCACATAGGGCTCCTTGCTCAGCAGGGAGCCTGCTCTCTCTCTGCTTGCCGCTCCCCCTGCTTGTGTGTGCTCGCTCTCTCTCTCTCTTTCTCTCTTAATCTGACAAATAAATAAATAATCTTTTTAAAAAATTTAAAAAATAAAATGTTTCTAACTCAAGTGCTCAGATACCTAACAATCTTTCTCTAACATTTAAATGTCACAATTCTAATTTTTCTTAGTAATTAACAGTACCTTATTATTGACTCATTCGATATGTAACTTACTATGAGCTTTTCTTGTTCCCAAGTAGTCTTTTTGCCCATTCTTTACCAAAGGAGTTTGCACATCCATCCACTACCATCAAAAAGCGTTTACCAGATTACTGAAGATGAGTGTGGGGTACATAGGGATTCATTATACTATTTTTCTACTTTTGTATTTCTTTGAAATTTTCCATTATAAAAATGTTAAATAAACAAACAAAAAAAGTAATTATCTGATTGTGGTTGTGTTCTACCTTCTAGTACACTACCTTGAGTACTTCCTAGTCAATTTTTGTTTTGATGATAGATTGACAATAAGTTGTCAACATCACACTGAGGTCAGGTCTAATTCCTTCTCCTCACAGTCCATCATTCATTTTATGTACAAACATACCCATCATAATATGAATTCAATCTTCCAGAAGCCAACTTCTATACACAAGGTACTGGGCCAAACCAATGATTGTAATAATCATACAAGCGTAAATTATATTATCTAATTACATAACACACTACATGCATTCAAAAATTTTACTCTTAAATACCTCTTATACTATCTGCTCACCCATTTTGGTTGCAAGTGAAAGCAAAGTATTATAGTTATGGTACTTCACAAAGACCAAGTGATAAGAAAATAAGAAATTAGAAAATAAGTTTAAGAATTAAGTGAGCTAGTTATTAACCCAAGTTTTAAAAAATAAAGATACTATTGAACCAACAATTGAGAAATGAAGCTAAATATGGAAAAAAAATATTCTGGATAATCATCACCACTATTATCAATTACAAGAGAGCTCATCATAAGTCAGAAATTGTTCTAAGTACCTTGTATATATTTTCTAATCAAACGAATTCTCACAGCAACCCCAAGTAGAAGAAGAACTTATATAAGGTCTTATACAAGGTAGAAGTAACTTGTACATAGTAGAATTTGTACAAAGCAGTAGTAATTTGTAAAAAGCGGAAGTATAACTTGTACAAGGTGTCAGCAAAGAAGTCACAGAGCTAGGATTCCTAACCAGAATTATATTCAGTGTCCACATTCAAAAAAATAAGATGTTCAACTGAGAAGTGATAAAAAAAAATGGATACAGGAATTAACAGACTCTGTCTATAACAGACTACAACAGAATGAAAGTTTAGACAACAGAAGATGATAAATTATCAGAGCCTAAGGCAGGATATAGGGTTACCAAGAATGCATTTCTGAAGAGTTCAGATGTAATAATATCCCTAAGGATAAAAGCTTTCCTACCTAAGCTTAATTCTTACTCCACACTCACATTCATAGGTTTCTACGTAAACACTATTTAAATTATTCTGAGAAGCTATGTCATAGGAAGGTTAAGCACACAGATGAAAATAATCTTAGAAACTACAAAAATTTATACCACAGACCATACCAAAAATTGCACCACTGTTTAAGGAAAATAACTGAGAGAAAGTAAAATGTAAATGAAAAGAAATGGATAACTGCATAGCTCCATTTATGGAGAGAATATAGAAGGAGAAAAAACTTAAAGTAAAAAGAAAATAACAAGAATTTCATATCCTCAAACTGCAAAATAGTTGCTTTGGGCTATGATTCTTCATATTAAACATAAATCAGTATTTCATAGTGCAACACAAGAAACATGCAACAAAGGCGAAAGTTATAGCATGTGCCTAAGGTTATGAAACATTACACCATCTTGTGGTAACAACTGAAAAATGCAATTTAAAGAAAACACAAAGCAATGTTCTATACAAGTCATTATTATTGTTAATTATCATTGAATTACTTAAAAAATAAATCAGCTGTTCACATGACATTTTTCATTTGGAAAACTAAGAAGTTTTTCCATTGTAACTTACGTACAAAGTAACAGGAATATTTTCCCATGATCTTTCTGCTTCAAGTTTATCTAATGAACAAGGACTATCATCCTTCTTTGTAGACTTCGGTAACTCTTTAGTACAATGCTCTAGATTTCTCTTGGCCTTCAGGATAAGCAATTCAATTTTGTCACCTAATTTAAAAGATTAATTCAAGAGAAAAAATAAATACAAAACACAGCAAAATCTCAAAGGCAACAAATAAGAATTCAGATAATTTGGAATATACACATAACTGTAACAATAAACTTTTTTAATATGACATTTCAAAGAAGAAAAGGGGAGAAAAGATATTTCCTAGGCACAAAATGCTATGTAAATGAAGACCGTTAAGTGTTCAAAAGATTTATCATCTAATCATTTCATCAAGAATATAGCATAAAAGCTCCTAGACATTAGGTCAAATTTATAGCACTTCCTTTGGTTCTTAAAAACAAAACAAAACAATTACCACTGAATGGCTTTTTGGTTTGTCCTGGGAGAACTGGATTCTCACATTGACACTGGCTATGTTCAGAATCACATTTATATTCATTAACTAATCCTTTATCATCACTCAAGGAGTCTGAAATGTTTGAGGGTTCAAAAGAATATTCAAAACTATCTAGTTTATTCGTAAGTCGAGAAGTTCTTTGTGCCTGGTAACTATGTCTAGGGGAACACTGATCTTCTTTAAATATTTCAGAAATCCTTTGACTATTTGTATCAGGTAGCAAGTCTTGATGGTGGAGCCAGACTGGGTATGTGAAATCAGGTAGACTAGTTATTCCTGAAACATTAAGGTCAGATTTCTGGCTAGTGAGCCATCTTGGGTAATTCTTTTCAAGTTTGTGTTCTGAACTGTCTTTGAAAGACAACTTCTTGGAAAATGATAAAGATGGTTCAGAAACCCACTTATTAGTCTTATTCACAAGTTTTGGGTTTTTTAGCCTACCACGTTGCTTTCCATTTATATTTGTGTATACAACAGGAGTAACTAAGTTATCTTTGCACATGGGAGTAGAAGGTTCTTGAAAATTTTGATTCTTTTCAGTATCCAATGAACTCAGTCTTCGAATGCATTTCTTGTTTTTCTTGCTAATTCGGTGACTTGATCCAATGCAAGTTAAAGAAAATGATCCATCTGCTGGAAGTTTTAATAGATCATCAGTTGTTAGGCTAATGGAGTCTATGTCATTAACGGTCTTTCTTCTACAGGATGAAGAGGAGCATTTTTTGGAATCAAGATTTTCAAAAGCTGAAAAACAAAGCATAGTTCTGTTTATTTTCCTATATTACATATAACAATACTTCATAATATTCAACAGTAAATAGAATTAAGAATTTAAGAATCATTTTTGCTGCTTTCCTTTATCTTCACTAAAACTTTGAAAGTATAAAAGGTATAGGTTGATGAAATACAATGTGCTTTTTCCTCCCATCTCTCCAATTTACTTTAACTAAGTTCTACACTTTTCTCTCAAACTCCTAAATTTTCCCTTTTAATTTACTGTTTCTTCAACTTTTTTCATCTAGACATACCTGATGCACTAATACACTCACATTAATATTGGTCACTCAACACTGGCTGCAACTTAGGAGAAAAATATGCTATTAAACTAGGTGGAAAAATAATTTGCTTTCTGCCTACTAAACCTGCAACAGCATTAACACAGAGAACATCTGTTCTAATACTCTTCCAGAATACAGTGCCCACATACTTCTAAGAGTTGAATGCAAATTTTTTCCATACTAGGGCCATTCCATAAGTACTTAGTAAAGTGTTACCTGGGTTATCAACAGATGCATTTTCCAAACTTGTCTTTGTGGAAGCCTTATCAAGGAAAAACTCTTAACATCTTATATTATTGTCCCAAAGAATACAGATCAGGAAGACTAATAGAGTCTTATTCTGTCAACTGGGATTAATCAAGTATAAATTCAGAAAGACAAGTTTGTTTAAAGTCATTAAGCTACTTAATGAAACCTAGAACCACCAAGTCAATGCTGTTTCCATTATGCTATAATAAAATGACTTAAGAGTTTAGGATCAACCACCTGCTGTTATTAGTTACATTCATCACCTTCCCTCCAAGGTCACAAGAAGCTTTTAGCTGAAAATTCCTGAGAACCAGAGAATTACAGAATCATTTAAGAAAAATATCAAGACCTCAATACTATAAAGTAATTTTTACCCCAAAGGAACAACAAAAAAAAGTGTCTAGTTTTTCAAGGCTACATCTCTCAAATGCTTTAAATCAGTAGACTAAATAAATAAATAAATAAATATAAATATAAATAAAAAATAAAAGCATACCATTCTTTGGTTTATAAATATAGTTGGAGAATTCTGGCATATTAGCAGAACATCTTTCAATGTTAATCTTTCCAGTGCTTGCACAAGGATACATTTGGCTTAAATCAAAATCATCAATATAGGCCTGTAGAGCCTGAGATGCAGAACTATACAGTTTATCCTTATACTGAAACGAGCCATCAGAGTTAGAGGAATTACTACCACTCAGGCTGTAGCTTGCTAACAGAGAAGATACTGAAGATTGCCGAGAACAAACTCTGTGTTTTGTAATTGATTTTGCCATGGCTTCCTCAAAATGGCTTATTACTATTCACTTCTCTTAAAAACTGTAATACAAAAACAATAGGTTATGGTTCCATTAAAAGGATTAACAGTCATACAGAGAGAAAGTACTAAACATGTAAACTTTTTATAATCTTCTTTAAATAAAATCCATTTCTATCATCCTTTTAAGGCAATGCACATTATAGATTTTCTATTATTGTAATTACCGTGAATTCCTTCATCATTGATTTAGAAACATTTATTGAGTACCTACTATGTTCCTGAGATTTTGTATACATAATTATCTGAGAATAGTACTTGGGGAAGAGTCCTCACTATTTTTAAGCCCTAAAAACTTCTGAGGTACTTTATTTATTTGACAGAGAGAGACACAGCAATAGAGGGAACACAAGCAGGGGGAGCAGGAGAAGGAGAAGCAGGCTTCCCGCAGAGCAGGGAGCCCGACATGGGCTCGATCCCAGGACCCTAGGATCACAACCTGAGCCGAAGGCAGACGCTTAATGACTGAGCCACCCAGGTACCCCTGAGGTATGGTCTTTCTTATGGGGATAGAGTCTATGATATCACAATACCTAACATTCTCCTATACAGAATATTTTTTATTTCATAAGCCTACTATCATGCATTACAGATAGTAGGTACTCAATAAATTTTTAAAGGCATCAAATGAGGTTTTAGAAACAAGAAGAAACAATAGAAAAGAATATCCACTTTCAATGTTGTAAATGCCAATATGTAACTTTAGCCAACCCTTTCCGCCAGGAAAACTCAAGAACAAAATAATTTACAATATTTAGTATAAAGAAATAAAGTACCAAGTTTACTGAGCTAGCAAAATGCTTTTTCCTAAAACAACATTGCTAATCATTTTCTCACCATTTATGGCAGTACCTTACCATTTCCACTTATGTTAAACAGATTCACCCTCTCTTTTAAAAGAGACTTAGATAATTTGGAAATTTACAACATATTCATCTTAATGTTTTTCCATTACTAAAATTGAGAGAATTCCTGTCTACCTTAAGATAGTAATAGGATCTACATTTGAAAAATTAAAAAATAACAAGACTTCAGTACATGATGTGACATTCTTTTAAAAAATTAAATCAGTGGAAATGGATCTTCTGTATTAAAAGTGAAAAATTAATGTCTAGGACTTAATACACCCTATAATGTTATAAAGTTAATATGTTTAACTTTGGGCTATAATTTTGGGAATGTTTAAGTTATAACAACTTTTAATGTAACTTTTAATGTAATCTTAATAACTATCAAATTTGACTTTAAAATACTGAAAGTTTTCCATTTCAAGATGGAGTAAAACATCTTCCTGCCTCAGCTTTTGAGCATGCACTGCCTTGGCAAGAGAGCTGACAGCAGTCAGCGGAAGGAGCAGCAGAACACAGGATAACGGTCATTGAGCCTCTTTGATTTCCCTGAATGCTGTGATGTTGGTAGATCTCTAGAGAATGGCTAGACTAAGTCAGCTTTGCTCTTTCTTTACCCCTTTCACTAATGATGTCTAAATTTTCTCAAGTGAATAACTGCTTGACCAAACATTTTCTCCCTTATTCCAACACGGTACAGGTCACCAATCTTATTTTAAAAACAAAAACAAACCTCTAAAAGATAAAGCTGTTGGATTACAGTTCTCAGTAAGTGGGTAATAACATTTATTTTAATTCACAGGAGGCAGAAAGAAAATCCACAATGAATTTTTATTGTGGAAAGCTTCCAAAAGTATACAAAAGTAGAACGAATGGTTTAATAAAACCCTATGCACCCATCATCCTTCTTCAAACAATTACCAACATACCCCAACTTTTATCCACCCACTTCTCTCCACTTCCTCCATAGGATTATTTGGAAACAAATCCAATGTATCTTACCATTTCTTCCGTAAACACTTCCGTTCCTATCGCCAAAAGGAAATCCATCATTCCGAAGAATAAAATGTTAAACGAACGGCAAAAACTGTCAACTACCTTTGATTCAAAAACAGAATGTTCAGTGTTAAATAAACAATGGGTACAGCTCACAGGAAAGCAACAACTTCCTAGAAACAACAGCTCCGTGATTTATGTTTTGAAACCGAACATTTATTTGTTTATTCTAAAACAGAAAGAGAAGAATTAATGAAGCCGGAAAGCGAAGATCGCTGGCGCCCCTGCACGAGAACATCTTTTCCCCACCCCACGCGTTGGGGTGCAACCCTTCCGCCCTTACCTAGGAAACACCCACCCTTCGGGATTGCAGCACCCCCGGCAGTAACAGACACAGGCTTCAGTTAGGTACTTCCACCCAGAAACCATTTATTAAGCAGCAAGCGTGAGCTCCCCCGCGGGCGGACGGAGTTTTTCCGAGGTGACAGTCCCTAAAGCCCAAGCCCCCTCCCACCCCGCCCTCTTCAATTGACGCCTCGAGTCTCAAAATGCCCCTCCGTCTCGTCCGGGACCCTCCCCCGCTCGGGAGCCTCCCGATGAAGATGTCCTCTTCCTACGGGGAAGGTCCACTCGCGCCTTCCCTCAGGAGACATCTGCCTCTTCCCTCCACGCCACTCTTTTTCTAGCCTTTCCCTCGGGCTGTCAAAGGATGGGGCGCCTCTTGAAAAGACACCACCTTTTCCGGCCGAACTCACCGACCAAGGCTCCAAAAGAGATAAAAACGCACACGTCCACAACTCTCCACCAAAAGCCCGCGCCTGTTGCCGGACGGAAGACGCGACAAAGCATCCCCGACCCGGACACGGCCCCGCCTCAGGATCCGCTTGCTCGAAGCCTGCTCCGCCGTCACAGCGGGGCGCGACGCCCGCGCTCGCTTTCAAACTGATCCAACATGGCGCTGGCTTGCGGTGCGCATGCGTGGCGCTGTGCGCCTGGGGCAGCGGGGCGAGGGGCGGGGGCCGCGGGGGAAAGAGGGTGCCGTGGGGCGTTTGGTAGCACTCCATGCTGGGAAATGTAGTTTCTCCCTCCTCATCTTTCTGGGGTGGAGGTGGAGAGGGGGTCTCCGGACTGCATCTGCGTCACTGCCCCGCACGCCCTCCCCACCTCCGTCACCGCTCTTTGGGGCCACTCGGCGCTGACGACAGGCTGAGCTTCCCACTGCGGGCTCCCCGGGAGTGTGTGAGGGGATGAGGTGGGGAAGGAGACTCGGGGGCGCTGGCGGCTGCCGTGTTGACTTCGGCCTCTCCGCTTTCGGAGCACCCCCTCCCAGGATAAGACACCACCTCCAGCCGGGGTTGGAGGGGCAGTTCCCCAGACAACATCCTTCCCTCTCTCCTCAGTGCTTTCCACATCGCATCCCTGCGCCCGGGACTTCTGGTCTGGCTGCCAGCCCCTCGCTCTCAGAGCAGATGCGGGATTGGAGGGAGTTTGGCCAGGAATGGGATTTAACAAATTCCTTGGGGACCTTGATTCCCAGGGAAGAATGGCAGTGACCCAGCACGGATTTGGGGACCCAGAAAAAGGGAGATTATACAAACAGATGTAAAGACCCACTAACAACATGTGTGACTCTGTCTACGAGGCTGGGACAGGATGTGAGGTGCGAAGAATCCAGTTTCAACCGAGTGGTGTATCAAAAAAAGATGCCATCTCAATATTGGTTTATGTTTATTTTCCACTGACTCTCTGGGTGAAGATATCCTTGACCATTACTCCACCTGAATATGTTTCCAGTTCATCCGATGTTACATCACCAGGTAACGCAACTGTAGTCTTGCTCTTTGTTCTCTTTTCACCCTCTCTGGCCCGCTAAACTTAGCCTTTCCTTTTTTCTTAGCAAATGAAAAAGCCCACAAGCTATAAAATTCAGTTAAGTGGCTCAATTAAACATATTTATTGTGGCAGTAAATGCTAGTGATTTGAAAATGAGTAGAAGTCCCTGCAGGAATTTATACTCTAGTGCTATGTTCCAATAATTGGTGCCTTTTCTAGATCGTTCAATATCAAGCATGTTGCTGATTGGAAATAAAGAACTGAGTTATATGTGCTGAGACAAGCACAGGGCAGGGACTAGCCAAGGATTGTTAATGGCATGAGCTAAAAAAGTTAGACATCTTTATTTACATTCCACCTGAATGTTTTTTTAACCTGTCCTTCTCTAAGATAATTTCTTAAAGGTTCTTTTCATAAACACGATTATTAACATTTCTCTTACTGCCTTTTTCTTTCGCATATATAGCAAATGTTTCCTAATGAGGACATAAAGTAAAAATAAAAAACATGGAGAAAATGTAAAGGAAGTGATCAAATATATTGACTTAATTCATGGATCAAAATAATTCTCCTTTGTTCCTTCACAGGTTAAGAGATATGGAGATCTCCACAAGGATTTGGAGAAGAGTCCCAATAATTATTAAAATTCTGGACTAGATCTATTAGGAAAGGTAAGGAAACCAAACGTCTACTAGGAAAAAGGAGTTGTAATGGTTTTCTAAAGCTTTTCAAATATAGGTGTCAACTAGGTGTTATGCCTTGCTGGAGAACTAAACAAGAGAAAGTGGATTTATGATCCAACTTAGAGCTTTAAGCGAGAGCTAATTAAGACATGGTTCTGATAATTAAACTTTAAGAAGTTTTATTGAGGCAGCTCTTTGGAGAGTTTTTTAAAAGGTAGATTTAAATGTCATTTCAAGAAAAGAAACTAATGTTTCTGATCATCAAGAAGGGGTCCCACACTGTTTCAATCACTTTTGCATTTATTAACTCACTCAATCCTTATAATGACCCCATGAGATAGGTATTACCATCCCCAATCTATACATGTAAAAACTGAAGTTCAAAGGTTGAGCAATTTATTCAAAATAATAGAGTATGTGGTGAGTGGCAAAGTTAGGATTTGAATCCAGCTGTGTGTTGTCATATTCCTTCCACCATAAAACCACCCTAAATGAAAACTAGATAATGAACCAAAGGACCAATGAGACTCCAGTTTCTTGAACCCATTCAGAACAGAAATAGTATCTTACTCAACTGTTTTTGCCCCACCTACTACAGTACCTAATCACTAGTAAAGGGTTCCATAAATATGTTCATATTGAATTGATTTGAACTTGATCCTGTCTCAAGAGGAAACATTTAAACAAAGACACCAATGAAGAGGAATCTGTCATTCATATTTGGGAAGAATGTTACAAGCAGAGGGAAAAGCAAGTACAAAGATCCTGAGGTAGGAAGATGCTTGGTTGTATTTGAGGAACAGCCAGGTCAATATGATTGGAGCTGAGGTGGAAGAGAAGACAGGTAGGACTTGCCTTTGGAGAGGAAGCCAAATGTCAGATCATTTAGTCCCATTGCCCTCACTTTAAAAAGACTAATTCCCAAGAACACATGATTAACAGATTATGATGCTTTACAAGAGAAAGGAAGCATGATTAAGCTGTTGGAAATATTAATGATTTATTGAATAACTATTACGTGCCAGGCAATGGGCGAGGGCATTTAAATGCATTATCTCATTTAATGCTCACATTAATTCTACAGAGTTAGTTATTATCCCAGAAAATGGAAAAATGGAAATATTAAATAATGTGGTTCACAACTAGTGGCAGAGACAGGATTTGACCCAGGTCTCTTTGAGTCCAAAGCCTACTCTTTGTACTATACCACATTTTCTCATTTGAATGATTATGAAGAAGGAAGAAGGAATTCATGCATTCATACACTTAGCAATTATTAAGTAAAAACTTAAAAATAAGTAGCTATTGTTCATTACTATGTAACAGACACTGTAGAAATAGTATTAAAATGTAATAGAGCATTTAAAAATTGTTTTGTGTAGTTATATTCTTACCAGTTGTCTGTTTTTACAACTTTGCAGGTAGATGGACTATAAGGCACTTGCCCAAGAAACTGCTCAAGAAGTTTTAGAATACAGTCAAGACACATCAGGCTGGAAAGTGGTTTAGACTTCAGTAAGAAAACAAGTTAAATATGTTTCAAGAGTTTATTTTTTAATGAGAAGTGATTCAAAAAGACTTCTAAAAATATTTTTTATGACCAAAAAATATATTTTTACTTCTTGTTTGTATTTATTTTTATTTATTTTTTCTGTATTTGACAGCTAATTTATTTCTGGATTTTTATTCCCCTTTGAGAAAAAGATAACTGTTTCCAGCAAGGCTTCTAAAAGATTCCATGGAAATCTGTGAGTACAATTTCCTTTTGATAGTTGTTTTGAATTCAGTGGCATTGATGTATCTAGAATTCAGTGCTGGTTCATGAGCTATAACATTGCTTGTTAGTGATCAGGAAATAGAAATTAATTATAAAGTCACTGGGTTGAAATGTGATATTAATAAATTAGAGCAGTTATGTACCACCTAATCATTTTCAAACTTGGTGACAATCAGGAAAAAAAGTCAAGTGAATAATTCATTAAGATAGGAAATTTCTACCTCAAGAAATAATTACTATAAAAGCAGATTGGTATTTTCTTGATCACAGTAGTATTTTGTAGCCTTTCAAACATTTCACCTTTCCATTAAATGAACCACTAAAAAATAAGGTTTATTTCCCCAATTTACTTCTCTTGCTGATATATGTAATGTTTTCTGAAAGCTGCTTTTGAGGATACTTTTGAGGATCCCATTATTTCAAATATAACTACACTGAGAGAAATTGTGCTGACATTTTTAATCTTATTCTTAAGAGTTGTTCATTCATTGCTCGTGATATCACATTAATGCAAATAGATCATCATATGTTATCAAAATCACTTTTTTCCTTGTTTTTATCTTTTGGCCTATAGGAGTGGTTAACATAAGCTGTTTATTGATCACAAGTTGTGCTTAAGACCCCCAAACTAGTAAAATTTTTACCCGTTACAGTTAGATCTGTGCATGGCTTACAGACTGTTTTCACAATTCAGCAGTTTTATGATTTTGTCCTGCACTTAGCCAGGGACAGCTAGCTTGGAAGTTCTGTAACCAATCACTCCTCAGAGGGAACAGTCGTGGGCATACAGACATTCTTCCAGAACAGCAGCAGAGAGTATGATTTTATTTTAAGGTGGTCAGAATATATTATGTGTCAGAGGTTATATTTCAGTCTCTTAAGCCAGTAAGACTTCAGCTCTTTGTTGAAGTTTTCAGTTTGGAAAATGCTTGTAAATCACCAACCCATATCTTGCATTGAATGCTTCTGTGAGGGGCAGCCTAGTACATCCAATATGATTGTTCTGAGTAGGGGCAACCTAGTACATCTAGTATGATTATTCCTGAATAGGTGCAGTCTGGCACATCCAGTATAATTATTATGAGTGGGCAGTCTTTCACATTAACTCTGATTATTCCATAGTAATGGCAGCCTGATACATGCAATCAGAATGCTCTGAGTAGGACATCCTAGTGTATACACTCTGATTGTTCTGCATAGAGGCAGCCTAGTACATCTAATCTGATTGCTCAGAGTAGGGGCAACCTAGTATAACACCCTTCTGATTGATTTAATTAGAGGCAGCCCAGTACATCCTCCTGATTGCTCTGTATGGGGCAACCTAGGACATACAATCTGGTAACTTCTAATAGGGGCATCTTAGTACATCCATTCTGATTGCTCTGAGTAGGTGCAATTCGTCCATCCCTTCTTACTGCTCCTGAGAAGGGGAAGCCTTGTACATAAACTCTTATTGCTCTGAGACTGGGCAGCCTAGAACGTACAATCTAATTACTTCTGATGGGAGCAGCCTAGTACATGCACTCTGATTTCTCTGGGTAGGAGCAGCCTGGTATACCTCCTTTGTTTGCTCTGAGTAGGGGCAGCCAAGTACATCCCCTCTTCTCTAGGTAGGAGCAGTCTAGTACATGCACTCTGATTGCTCTGAATAGGGGCAACCTATACATCCATTCTGATTGCTCTGAGTAGGGGTATCCTAGTACATCCATTCTAATTACTCTAATAGGGGCAGCCTAGTGCATCTGCTCTGATGGCTCTGAGTAAAAGCATCCTCATACCTCCATTCTAATATCTTGAATAGATACAACATAAGATATCCACTCTACTTGCTCTGAGCCAGGGCAGTCTACTGCATATACACAGCCTTCCACACCCGAACCCCCCTGCCAGAGATGAGTGTGATCTTATGTTGTTCATCTAACTGTATCTCTCCCTACTTCTGGCTGGTCTTCTTGTGCTTTTGCATTAGTTCCATGTAATTCTTCTAATTGTTCACTAACAAAGTATTTTTTTTTCAAAAATTTCTCCACATTTTGTTCCAAATGAAATCTATTTTCTCAGCCACAGCCGAGATGCTGCCAGCTCATTTTGTCTTGCCTTTGCCCCTGAGCAGAACCTATGCACTATTACTGGAGCTGAGTGACACCTCCATCCATGAGGAGGAAGGGGATGTGAGGGTGGCATTGGGGAGAAATGGTACCATGACTTCAGCTTGCCCCTCTTGTAGCGGGGAGGGGAAATAAGCCCCAGTATATACTGCATTAGACAGAGTTCTCACCCTATCAGTAAACTTTGGGTGGGGATAATGAAGCCCCAGTCTTCTCAGCAGTGCCTCCTGGGCATAGAGTATGTAGCATGAGCTGGGGGGTGCAAGAATAAGAGATGTCAGTGTCCCGCCCCTCCTAGGATGAAACCATAGCCCAGACTGGGAGTTAGTGGGGAGAGGGAGGTCCTCTTTGGCTTTCAGGGGTGAGGAGGTGTTGCCTAGAAGCTGATTGTGGCTCATTTGGTACAGACTCTTACTTTTCTTACCTAGATTTAGTAGGCTTTCTTGAATGAATGTTTCTCCATTTCCTGAATGTCCTTAGGCCATTTTCTAGAGAATTTAAATTGTTGTTTCTTAAAGTAATTTCATCAGTTATTTCACTATGGAGGAGGGTTTACTAAAATCCTCACACAGCTACTCTGGAAGTCCCACCCCCAACTCTAATATCACATAGGATATGACAAAAATATGATCACTAAAAGCCTGTGACTATTTCATCATCTTACAGATGCTTCCCCAAATTTGCAATTCTAGTGTGCCAAAATAGACACTTTACATTATTTTTCTCCCCCCATCACAAAAATCATAAAAGGCTATAAAGTGATTTGGAGACATTAAAATTAGTATGTTGATACAAATCCACACATACTAAAAGGTTTCCATTGCCGCCTCATAGCTTCATGAAATGTATGGTCTGTAAAAAGTGTAACAATGTATTCCAATCTATCAGTTATTCCATATACCAGCTAAAGTTTGTCAGAAACTGTAAAAGACAAGAGAAAATAGTTAAAATATTTTTAATTTGACCTGAGATCACTTCATGTATAATGAGAAAAAAGCTTCATTATAGATCATAGTAAAATATCTAATGAACTGTTCATCTTAACGATCAATAGATATAAGAATATAGTTCTTAGATTCAAGTATGACAAAATTGATATCTCTGGAGAGCCTTGAACACAGTAGATACTAAATTGCTCATTGAGTGATAGGCTCAAGTACTCAAGACACATAAATGTTTTGTGTTTTCAGAGAGGCTTAATATTTACATATTTTTAAAAGCCACTAACTCTAATATACCTCCAATTAGTGAATTAAGATAAGGTAATTTTTGACTAGTAGCCTACCCTCTGCCCAAGACACCACTTTAACTATGTTTTATAATCTTCCAAAAATCAAAATAAATAATTTCTGCCTTGTAGTCATATAATACCTGTAACTTATACTTTTCTCACCTTTACAAATGACTGGAAAATAAACAAATCAGCCACTGAGTAGACAGCCTAAACCAGGGGTAGAGAGTAAGTAAATATTTTAGGCTTTGCAGCTGCTACGGTCTCTGTAACAACTACTTAGCTCTGCCATTATAGCATAGAAACACAATACATAAATAGACAAATTTTTGTGCCATTATAGCACAAGGGCACTAACATTAGTAGACAGACAATACATTAATGAATAAGTATGGCGGTGTTTCAGTAAAACTAATGACAAAAACAGGAAGTAGGCTAGACTTGACCTATAGACCATAGGTTGCCAAACCCTGTCCTAAATAGTAGATAGGGAAAAATCACAAATCCTCAAATGTTGATAAACTTATATGTATATTAGGGACCTTTCCCTAAATCACATGAGATAGTCAACATTTTCTTATAAAATAGGCTTTGTGTCAGATTACCGCAGGCGGAGGCTAAGCTATGATGTTAGGTGTATTAAATGCATTTTCAATTTAAGATACTCTCGACTTAAGATGGTTTATCTCAGTGTAACCTCATTGTAAATCAAGGAAGATCTATATATATTAGTTAGAAATACAAAAAGGTTTTATCCATGGGGCTCCTGGGTGGCTCAGACAGTTAAGCATCTGCCTTCGGCTCAGGTCATGATCCCAGAGTTCTGGGATTGAGCCCCACATAGGGCTCCCTGTTGAGGGAGCCTGCTTCTCCCTCTCCCTCTGCCTGCCACTCCCCCTGATTGTACTCTCTCTTTCTCTCTGTCAAAATAAATAAAATCTTTAAAAAAAATGTTTTATCCTCAAAGTTTATAGTATAATTAAAGAGAGAGAACAGATTAATAAAAAAAATCCATGGTAGTATATACAAATCCCTTCATAGTTTTGTACTTAAATTTTAACTGTGTTATATCTGACTTCTTTTTCACAGGACCTGATAATTATTCAGGTTGTTTTCTCACTATCTTATTCAGAGCTTAATAATAAACTCTTAAAAACTTTGTAGATCTGAAGGAAGGAAACATTACATAGTAAGGAAATTTGAAGGTATCTCATAAAGAAAATTAAGGACTAACTGAGCTTTTAAAGAGAAATTAACGTACAAAGAAATAGTCTAATGAATTCCTTATTTATTTGCCAAATCATAAAAACAAAGTTTTAGAGGAAGAACCATTCATAAATATGATAATTATTTAGACTAATAATAGTATTTGGTTTTTATCTCACTTCCCCCAGGACTTTTAACTTTTTAGAGTTTTTTTTTTTTAATTTTGATTTTACTTAAACCTATCCCCTCAGTTTGGAAAGAATCATTAACAGGGAGAAGAGTACAGCCAATACTGTTCAGACTTCATTTTTATTCAACAACCTTCTGCTAAATAGTGAGTTTTAATCCAGTTTACTCATCTTGTCTTAATTCCATTGATGGATAACCACATCTAATTTAAGTGATGGACAAACACAAAGGTTAGTTACTTGCCCAAATCCTGACATGTTAAAAATAAATGAAATTCAGGGCATCTGGGTGGCTCAGATGGTTGAGCGTCTGTCTTCGACTCAGGTCATGATCCCAGGGTCCTGAGGTCAAGTCCTGCATCAGGCTCCCTGCTCAGTGCGGAGCCTGCTTCTCCCTCTCCCTCTGCCATTCCCTCTGCTTGTGCTCTTCTGTCTATCTCTCTGTCAAATAAATAAATAAAATCTTTAAAAAAATAAAAAATAGGGGCGCCTGGGTGGCTCAGTTGGTTAACATCTGCCTTCGGCTCAGGTCATGATCCCAGGGTCCTGGGATCAAGCCCCACATTGGGCTCCCTGCTCGGCGGGAAGCCTGCTTCTACCTCTCCCACTCCCCCTGCTTGTGTTCCCTCTCTCGCTGTCTCTCTCTCTCTCTCTGTCAATTAAATAAATAAATAAATAAAATCTTTAAAAAATTTTTTTTAAAAAATAAATAAAATAAAAAATAAATGAAATTCAAAAGTCACTGTCTATGAATAAGGTTCAGTTATAACACAGACATGCTCATTCATTATATATTGTCTATGGCTACTTTACTGCTACCCTAGAAAAGTTGAAGAGTTGCAACATAGATCATGTGGCCTGCAAAGCCTGAATTATTTACCATCTGGCCTGAAAAATTTGCTGACCACTGCTTTAGACACATTACATCCTTAAATTAAGAATTGGGTCTAGAAGATACTGAATGTGTGGGGTGCCTGGGTGGCTCAGTTGGTTAAGCGTCTATCTTTGGCTCAAGTCATGATCCCAGGGTCCTGGGATCGAGCCCCACATCAGGCTCCCTGCTCAGCGGGAAGCCTGCTTCTCCCTCTCTCACTGCCCCTGCTTGTGTTCCCTCTCTCACTGTGTCTCTCTCTCTGTCAAATAAATAAATAAAATCTTAAAAAAAAAAAAAGATACTGAATGTGTAACCACACAAACGTCTCATTAATTACATTTGGCTTATGATAAATATGGCAGGTAAATATTTATGAAAAAGATTTTAGAAAAATCCTAAAAGAAAGTAGCCCCCTCTAAAAAGACAACTATAGAACAGTATAAACAAGATTTGTAGAAAAATACATTTTGAAATAACTTATATTAGTTATTCCAGTGCTTATTTAAATAAACCTGGCTACTTCCAATTGAATATTAGTGTTTTGAATTGCTGATATTACTTTCAAGTGTTCTTTCCTGTTATTTGCTAAATTAACCTACTTTATGCTATGATAGCATTATATTTTGAGCTTAGATGAAACTTGTTAAATTTTGATTTTCTCTGTTTTGTTAACTGCAGATACCGTGTTGAAGGAATAATTCCAGAATCAACAACTAAACCGTCTGATTTCCTCTACAAATCTGAAAACAGAGTTGCATGGGATAAATCATTGAAAGTGTATAATATGGGGCGCCTGGGTGGCTCAGTTGGTTAAGCGACTGCCTTCGGCTCAGGTCATGATCCTGGAGTCCCGGGATCGAGTCCCACATCGGGCTCCCTGCTCAGCAGGGAGTCTGCTTCTCCCTCTGACCCTCTTCCCTCTCGTGCTCTCTATCTCTCATTCTCTCTCTCTCAAATAAATAACTAAAATCTTAAAAAAAAAGAAAGTGTATAATATGGTACACAAGATTGATTTGGTAATTTGCTGTATGATATTGGACTTTTATTGTAGCAATATATTTTTAGTTTTATTAGTGATTTAAGTATATTAAACCTGTGTGATGTAGACAGTATGATATAGACACTTCATATTTTATAGGCTAGAATTGAAATCCATAAAAGTCTTAAAACTTCCCTCATTATTAGTGAAAAGTTTAATTCCAATTAGCTTGATTCTGTTGTAAAGGCTTAGCACATTCTGAATCTAGCTAACTCTTGCAGATGTGTGTCTTTGGTCTTGAGGGGTTTGAACTTTATTCACCTCCTCCATTAGGTGGAAAAAAAGATTAAGCATGCCTTGTTGCTAGGAAGTCAGTAGATTTATCTTAGTTATAATACATTAGATAACAGGAATAATGCAGACACATACTGTAGGGACTTAAGAGCAAACAGCATGTAACTTTTTTTAAGAGTAAGGATACAGTATGGAATCACGTTATATAGATGGTTGTAGTTTTAGACTTGCTTTCAAATGTATTATCTCAAATAAATAGATGAAGAGGGAGTATAAAAACAGAGAAAAGAAAAATACAAGTAATTAGAGTAGAAAGTTTAAGAAGTCATAGAGGTGAGAGAAAAGACCGAATTTAAGAGAGAATCAGGGCAGCACACTATAGACCTCTTATTTATTAAGACTGCTATACTTTGGGGCGCCTGGGTGACTCAGTTGGTTAAGCAACTGCCTTCAGCTCAGGT